ATCAATTTACCTACCAGACTCCTTTATCTTATCCTAAACCTAGGAAAAGAAATAAGGTTGAAAAGCCTTATAAAAGGAAGTATTCCAAAAGAAAGAGTTATTCAAAGGAAAAGGATAATTCTCGACAGTATACTAAGCCTAAAAGGAAATATATTCCTAAAGCAAAGGGTAAAGGAGCCCAAAGTTGAGGCTAAATGTTTCAAATGTGGACGCATAGGCCACTATGCAAACAAGTGCAGAACTAAGGAGAAACTCAGTAGTCTTCACATAGAAGATGAACTGAAACTTCAATTAAGTAAATTGTTACTTAATACTAGTTCTTCTGAACCAGAATCATCAGATGGTTATAGGGACGTTGTTATGGAATTACAGTCTTCTTCTTCCTCTGAAGCAGAAGTCGAAAATCCGAAATGTTCCTGCAATCCCTCTCATGATGATTACTATAAGGCAATTGTTGAAATGAATGGGTTAAGTTTAAATGTTTTAACTTCAACTCAACAATCTTTATTGGATCTTATAGATCATATTCAGGATCCTCAAATCAAGATGAAAGTCTTTGAAATAGGTTCTGCTCTGGCACAACCTAATGAGGATACTGATAATCCAGATTTTCTGAGAGTAGAAAATCATTACAGCATGAAAGAAGTTCTAAGCAGATTAGAACGCCAAGGACAAAATTCTCGTCCTGCTAATATCCCTGACCTCAGAATGGAAATTAATCTTTTAAAAGAAGAAATTCGCCAGTTAAAATCTCGTCAAACTAAGATGGAACTGGAAATTACTCTTTTAAAAACAACATCTGAAACGAAAACTTCATCATCCCAGATTGAAGTTCCTCAATCCGAAAGCACGAATTATCTTTAACTCTTGAACCGGGTTACTTACCAAAAATGGTATATATCTATCAATTTGGTAATTAATCAAGAGTACACCTTCACTAATGCTATTGCCCTAGTTGATAGTGGTGCAGATATGAACTGTATACAGGAAGGATTGGTTCCTACTCAATATTTTGAAAAAACCACTCAAGGTCTTACCAGTGCAAGTGGCGGTAAGATGCAGATTAAGTATAAACTTAATCATGTTTTCATTTGTAAAGAAGGTATTTGTTTACCATCTACTTTCTTACTCATCAGAAATATGGCACAACAAGTTATTTTGGGCACCCCCTTTTTAGCTTTGATCATGCCTATTGAGAAAATTGATTCTCATGGAATATGCTCTATTCTACATGGCCAGTCAATTACTTTTCAGTTTTTGACCCCACCAATAAATAAGCATATCAATGCTCTTAAAGATAACATTATCTTTAAAGAAAAACAACTGAATTATTTGCAAAAGGAGGTATCTTCCTTAGCAATTAATCAAAGATTGGTACAGCCCACTGAGCAACAGAAAATTGAGTCAATACGGCAAAACTTTCTAAAGGATATCTGTAGTGAGATTCCTAATGCTTTTTGGGACAGAAAGAAGCATATTATCTCTTTACCCTATGAAAAGGGATTTACCGATCTTATGATTCCTTCTAAAGCTAGTCCCAGCCACATGAAGGCTGACTACTTGGAATTATGCAAAACTGAAATCAGCTCTTTAATGGCAAAAAAGCTTGTCACTGACAGCCACTTCCCATGGAGTTGCAGAGCTTTTTATGTCAATAAAAATGCTGAAAAAGAAAGAGGAATTCCTCGATTAGTTATTGATTATCGACCACTCAATCTTGCTTTGAGCTGGATCCGATATCCAATTCCCAACATCAAAGATCTTTTGGATCGGTTACAATCTGTTGTAATATTTTCCAAATTTGATCTTAAGTCTGGATATTACCAGGTACAAATTGCAGAACAGGACAGGTACAAAACAGTCTTTTGCGTACCTTTTGGACAGTATGAATGGACAGTAATGCCATTTGGATTAAAAAATGCCCCTTCAGAATTTCAACATATTTTGAATGACATATTTAATCCTTCTACTGAATTTTCTATTGTTTATATTGATGATATTCTTATATTTTCAAAATCAATAGATCAACATTATAAACACTTGAAAATTTTCAAAGATGTTATTTACCGAAGTGGTTTAGTAGTTTCTGCTCCTAAACTAAAACTGTTTTTAACCCAGGTCAGATTTCTTGGTCATGAAATTTGTAATGGAAAAATTAGACCTATTGATCGTAGTATTGAGTTTGCTTCCAAATTTCCAGATGAAATTAAAGATAAAACTCAACTTCAAAGATTTCTTGGTAGTTTGAATTACATTCGAAATCACTACAGAGATCTTGCACAGGATACAGCAATTTTGTATACCAGGTTAAGGAAATCTCCTTCCCCATGGACTTTGGAACACACCAAGGCAGTCTAGAAGATTAAACTCAGAGCAAAACAAATTCCTTGCTTAGCTCTAGCCAATTCTTCATGGTTCAAAATTGTGGAAACAGATGCATCCAATATTGGATATGGTGGTATTCTTAGACAGAAGAATCCAAATACAGGAACAGAGGAGCTTGTTCGCTTCACTTTAGGAACTTGGAAAAATGCACAATTAAATTATTCAACCATTAAAAAAGAAATTCTTTCTTTGGTTAAATGCATTTATAAATTCCAAGATGACTTAATCATTCAGAAATTCCTGTTACGCATTGATTGTAGTGCTGCTAAACAGGTACTGGAAAAAGATGTAAATAATTTAGTTTCCAAACAGATATTTGCTGGTTGGCAAGCTGATTTATCTGCTTTTGATTTTTCTATTGAATATATTAAAGGCAGTTCTAATTCTTTACCTAATTTTCTAACTCGTGAATTTTTACAAGGTTCATGAATCAGCCCCCTTATGGGCAGGGCCGGGGTAATACTCCAAAGGCTCGTGGCAAAAACAAGGCTAAGGCCAAAGTGGTTATACCACTAAATGATGATCAATTTCCATATTTGGATCATGTTGCTGATCTGCTCAACACACCTTCTAAAGGCAGCAGCAGTTCATAACAGAAACAATAGAAACCAACCATGAAAGAAGTTCTTGAACAAGAAACTCCATAGATACCTAATCAAAGGTATATTCAGACAGTATTGGTACTGGATTCTCAAGATGAGCAATGAATGCCAGATCCTTAGGAAGTTAAATCCAGATATTTCCAAACACAACAATATGCTGCACCGGATGGTCGCCATAGATATATCTATGAAGCCATTCTTACTGAAACTTCCTCTGTGGAGATTAACCACACGAAGCAATTTCCGAATTCCAAAGATAGTCATCTTACTTATAGTAAAGCTATTTTTAAGAGGCTTATACGGCCTAGTGACTGGGGATTAAATTCTAATTTGCCAAGAAAAATATCATATGGTCATAGTTACAATTATTGGGATTATATCTCAGCATGGACATATTCGTTCTTTTATCAAAATCCGAAGCATAAGCATTCTTGGTTCTTCAAGATATGCCCTCAATCAGTTAAGGTTGATTTTCCAAACTGGGTTATACCCTGGTGGGCTATATTTGGCCCTGATCTGGATGTTTTGCCCGAATCAATTAGGCAGTTATACTTGCCATGGCAACAATTTCATCCTCAATTAAGAGGACAGGATAATATTCCTGTAGGGAAATCCACCCTATTGTTCTTTACTGAATTTAGAATCCCTTGGATTTGGAAATGGGATTTTAAATGTGGTTATACCACTGACAAGCTACCAGTCCTTCAGAGGATCTTTTATTATCGATGGTGGTCAGGCATGACTCAAGACCCTATTCAAGCCCTCCTCCATCTTATCAGAAAGAAAACATTGGAATACATGGATAATGTTCCAAAGTTAACTATTCCAGAACCAGAAATCTTTAACCCATTTGAACTCGTTAAAGATATGATCAGAAAGTAACAACCATTAATTACCGAAGCAGATTTAATGGTTAAATGCATGGATTTTATGAGGAATAAATTTGTTAAGTCTTTTGATTCCTCCACGCCTACAGTACGAGATGATGCATCAATGGTGTCAATCTCTAGCCAGACCAGTCAAGAGGGTAATCAGTTTTCCTGTCTCGCTGGTTATGCACAAGATCCCAATGAATATCTTATTTTTGAAGAAGAACCCACAGTAGCCGATTATTGGGACTCCTTTACTGGCCACTTGATGGAAAAGATGAATCCACCCAAAAAGTAAAGATTCCTCTTATCTTGCCGACAGAAGAAGACAAAGAACTTTTTCCACAAGTCTTTGGTTCTACAGTATATCCTTAATCAGATGTCTACTTTTCATCAGATAAGGAGACAGCACTTAGTGGTGGGCCGACCGACTGCATTATTCAAGCACACGATCCCATGCATTATGCGGACTTCAAAATGTTAATTTCAAATCCATTTTATGTATAAATAGAGGGCAAAGTTTCCCTTCAATGTATCTTTCAATTTTCTTTTCTTTCTCTTGTAATATTTCTCTTTGTACTAGTTTGGAAGTTCAATAAGAAGAAGGTTTTCTGTAAGTCTGTTTAAGTTCCTTATACTATTATAATCTGTTATATTCTGTTGTGAAAATCTCTTGTATTAAAATATATGTGAGCAGTTTAGGAAGCACCCAAAAAAAAACACAACTATTGTACGTGTTTTACTCCAAAGCAGCAACTACATTTGAATCATAAAATATGCTCAACTTGCTTGAGCTTAAATATTATATTTAAATACAAACAAATAAAACACAATAAATCTTGTGTGACGTCGTGAATTCATTGTTTAGAGTGGCCGACACACATATAAAAGAACCTAATCATAGCTTTCAGCATTTTAAATCTAATCTGATCCACAGTCATGATTTAAACATGCAAGCTATGTATAGACCATAACTATAGTAATATATACCTGTGATGTTTTGTTATTTTTTTTTTTCTTTGTTTGTAAGTTGTTAAAATTTGGTGAGGGAGACCTGTGATGTTTTGTTACGACGGTGCATAACAAAAAAGATATATTTTTCCTGCAGAGTTTGTTAATACATCCTTATCAGTACAATATAACAATATATATAATCATGACGGTGCATAAAAAAATATATATTTTTTCTATATTGTATGCAGAAATTGTTAATACATCCGGCCATGTGAGTACAATATAACAAATATATATATATATATATATATAATTTGTCCCCATGCAACATGGAGCATAAATTGAAATTCTATATAAATCTGCTATTGAACATCTTACAGCTCATCATCAATAGCATACTAAGAAAATTATCTGCTTAATTCAGCCCCTAACTGCCTGCCAAAGAAAGAAAAAACAATGGACTCAGAAGCTCTTCTTCCTGTCATCGATTTCTCAGAGCTAAATCCGGGCACTCCTGAGTGGGACTCCGTGAGAGCCCAGGTTCAGGAAGCACTCCAAAAATATGGTTGCTTCGAGGCTTTGTTCAACAAAGTCCCTTCCGAGCTTCGAAAATCCATGTTTGGTGCAACTGAAGAAATGTTTGAACTTCCTTTGCAAACTAAATCAGGAATAGTCGTTACTAAGAATAAGCCCTTCCGTTGCTACACCGGGCAGTCAGAGAAAACACCATGGGAGAGCATGACTATCGAAGATGTACTCAGCCCCGAAAATCTCAAAAGTTTCATTAATCTCTTGTGGCCAGAAGGAAACCCTAGCTTTGGGTACGTAAATTTAATTAGTTTTCATTGTTGTTAGTTAGTTAGTCAGTCATTTTTATGCTGTTCCTTTTTGTTGAAACAAAATTACGTTTTTGTTTTTAAAGTTTTTAATAACTGTTTGAATATAATTGAACCAAAAAATTTAACTAATTAAGAAGATTACTTTTGACAACAACTCTTCATTTGGCAGCATAGCAGTAGGGTCCTTCTCAGAGCAACTATCTGAATTAGATCATATGATTAGAAGGATGGTTTTGGAGAGCATTGGTGTTGAGAAATACTACGATGAACACATGGATTCGTCCCAACACCATCTTCGGGTCATGAAGTATGTAGGTCCCGAAAATATGGAGAACAAGATTATGCTGATACCCCACACTGATTCGAACCTTTTGACCATATTGTATCAGATTAATCAGGTATGTGGGTTAGAGGTACAAAGCAAAGACGGGAAATGGATCAATGTGAAAACCTCGCCGGACTCTTTCATCGTCACGCCCGGAGATTCTTTTCACGTGAGTTTATTCACTTGCTCCCCTTGCATTTATTTATTTAATGTGGGAAGAGATAGAAAATAAATCACCAAAAAAAAAAAAGAAAAAAAAAAATACTATTAGCCAAACGAAAGTTAAAATCTTTTGTCGTTAAAACTGAAAACTCAGTGAAACGTACCTATAACTTTAAGCCTTATGATCGAACTAGTCTTGTGAAAAACAAAAACAAAGAAAAACAGCCTTTGTCAAGTCTCCCAGAGTTCATCATATAGATAAACATATTCAACGAACTCATTTTCTTCTTGGGCTCTACTGGTCAATTGACCAACTTTAGATCTAAACATTGTTTCAAAAAGAAAATGGAAATTGAGTAAAGGTTGTTGATAAATGTCTTCTGTTTTAGAAATTCAAGCAAATTTAGTAGATGTACAAGTATGTATAGTGTGCAAGTATTTCTGGCTCTTTTAGGTTCCACAATCATTCATTTACGTGTTTATTAATTACCGACATACAAAAATCAAATGACATGATATGAATAAATTGCAATATTCATATATATATATATATGGCACCGTCACTATGACATTTATGTTTGGAACTTCATTTTTTTTCAATATGTAAGCATGGACGAATGGGCGTGTGCATGCTCCAGTTCATCGGGTTGTAATGACTGGAAATAAAACGAGGTACTCGATGGGGCTGTTTTCGATTCCAAGAGAAGGCCACATTGTAAAAGCCCCAAACGAGCTAGTGGATGAAGAACACCCATTACTCTTCAAACCTTATGAATTTTTAGAATATCTCAAATTCTTCAAAACAGAGAAAGGACAAAAGGCTTATAAATCTGGCATAAAGATTTTCTGTGGTAATTGAGATGGCCTGATCGAATCCTCTCCATGCCAGTAATGATTTCTTAATGTTCCTTACTGTTGATGAATTTCACCACTATTAATAGTGAATTCAACTATAATTTTGGTGAAATTTCACAAATAAAGAAATACAAACAAATGAAATTTCATCATTTTAGTAGTGAAATTCACAATTAATATTAATGATGAAATTCACATAAACATTTAGCAGTCCGAGAGGTTTTTGATTCATTTGGATTGGCATATGGATGAGGAACAAATATAGTTTATTTTTCTTGTACTTTATAAATATGAATAAGGTGTTTTTGTTTCTTTTATGTTGTTTCATTGATCTGAGTGTTGGTTGGCTATCACGACTTGTCAAGATCAAATATAGCAATAACAAAACCCAGCACAACATTTTCCTATCCTAATGTTTTTTTTATTTTATTAGAGGGTAAGCTTTGTATTAAAGAGAGAGAGAATATACATGGAGCCCCAAGGAGGGGGAAGAACCGAAAGAACAAACAAACAACTAGAGGCAGACTAATACAACCTCAACCAAAACAAACCAATGCAGCTTACTGCAGCCTAATGAACAACCAGCACATGAAAAATTGCAACCTGATACATCTTGAGAACAACCAGCACACTATTAGCTAGCAACGTGTAAGTGAAGAACAATCCAACATTGCCTCAGGTATGCTCTGCACAGCATCCTATGGGATCAACCAAGAATGCACACAAGAGGTTGAACAAGCCTGCACAAACAGACTATGAAAGTCTTGCTCAGTTGTGATTTGCCTAAAGTTGGAACCCCTCTTTAGCTTGATTGTTGCAAGCTTTGCTCTGATGCTAGTCTTGATTTAAGAAACAATGTGTTTTTTTTGTTTGTTTGTGTGTGTGTGTGTGTGGGGGGGGGGGGGGGGGGGGGGGGGGGGTGGGGTTTGAGACACTCCTGAAAGCTCTACTATTTCTCTCCTGCCATAAGAAATAAATTGCTACAGAAAGTAAGAGTTTGCGTGTCAAGAAATCAAAAGAGGTCCAATGAGCTGAACACCATTGAATTAAATCCATCCAACTATTGGGGAGTGTATAGAACCCTGCAATCTCCTGTAAAAACCTCCAAATCTATGAATTGTAATTACACTTGAAGAACAAGTGACCCAAAGATTCATTTTCAGCAAGACACAAGTAACATCTATTAACATAGTGCTTATGAAGCATTGGTTTTGAATCTAAAGTGTAAAGTCTACCTCTTATAACTAACCAAGTTATGCAGCCATGCCTTGGTACATGATTCTTGAACCAGATTAGTTTATGCCAAACAAAGATTGGGGAGGATGGAGCAAAGTAAGTAATAGTATTTGAGAAAGAGTATGTACCAGTAGGACTCGGCAGCCACACAATGCTATCTTGTTTATCAGAGGGGTAAGGTAAGGAGTACAGCTGGGACAAAAAATCCAAAGATTGAAAGAACTGTGGGAAGCTTAATGATAAGGGAACCATCAAATGATTACTGGAAATTAGGTTATCAACTGTGGCCATAGTGTCCAGTTGAAGAATTTCCACCTCATTGAAGCCTAACTGCTCTACAATTGGCCCATTAGGTGGCCAGTAGTCAATCCACAGCTTTATGTCCTTTCCACACCCCACCCTATATTTGATAATACCTCTTCCCATTTCCCTTAGCCTTAGTAAGCTCCTCCAAAAACCAGAACTGAGTGTAGAGGCCTAATAGACTAGAAACATTTGTCCTTGATTAAATAGCAGTATGTACAAGCCACCCAAAGACTCTTTTTCCTCAAACACAGCTTCCAAATATGCTTAAGGTTAGCAATTCTATTTGAGAGCTCTAGATCAGGAAACCCCAAGCCACTGTACATCTTTGGCCTACAAACTACAATCCAAGCAACCTTTGCTCCCCTTTTTTTAAGCTTAACCCCAGACCAATAGAAGCTTCTTAGAATCCTGTTGATCTCATCAAAAACCTTCTTAGGTAATACAAAAGCCTGGAACCAATAGGACTAAATAGAACATAACATAACACTGACTTATTCTTATCCTGATGTTGTTTTTACTTGTTTCAATAAAATAATAAAATATAGGGTAATTTCCACCTACACCCCTAAGCTTTGCCTATATCCCACTTACACTCCCTTTACGTTTCAATAGTCCACCTACTTCCCTTGAGGTTTTGGTTTACTTATCAAGTCACCCCTTACATTTAAGCAACTAACCGTTAGTGGTGATGTCAACAGGAAAAAAATTGGAGCAAAGTCAATTTTGCCCTTCTCAATACATGAAATGACATCTTCAACCTTATAGCAACACTTCACTTAGACATATATGTGTGTGTGCATATATTAGACTCTGAAGTGTATGTCTTGGATAAAGTTAAGCGTATGTTTTATTTATGTGACATGCAGTGAATTATTAAGATGAAATTATAATTCTGTTCAACACAATGGAAAGAAGGAAACAACTAGTCAATTTTTCATTCATTCACCTGCTTTAATTTAACAATGAAAATAATTTGCTACAGTACTTTCATCTAATGGTTGAAGAAAAACAAATAATTCGTGAAAATCTAATGCAAAAGATCAATTACTTCATTTCATTCCATCTAAGGCAGATGCCAGTATAATAAGCCATATAATAGCTACAAAAACATACCAACCTAATCCATAATCACAAGTTGCATGCAAAACCTATTATTCTTTAAAAGTTGCAAAACAATCTAACACAAACATAATGCATAATACCAGTAAACAAACAACATTGTTCAACATTACAAATGCCACATATTACTAAATGAAGTCTTCATTTTAAGTACTTTTTGGATTTTTAGATCCTCCTATCCCACTTCTTCTAGCTCCCAATTGGGCAAATATCCAAGTGTAAATGTTTATGTGATTTGTATAAACATAATCATAGTTGTGATCTCATTGCATGACCACTTTACTTATTATCATACACTAATATGACTGTTCAACAAATATCTCATAGAGTCGTTCGATCATTTACAGAAATCAGGATGGTGGACTCAACTTTGAAGTTGGATTATGTTTTGATATATCTATTAACTTGGTAATAATTGCATCCGTGGTATTCTATTGCAAGAACAAGACCGTAAGTGAGAGTAGTTTAATTATAAAGTACAGAAAAAAACATAAGAGTAAGTAGTCTAGGGGTGTTCAAAAAATTTGAAAAATCAAAAAATCGGACCGGACCGGATTGAACTGGGCGGCTTGGGCTAATTGTATAGCGGTTTGATCCGGTCTTGGGCCCAAAATTATGAAACCGTAATTTTTCAATTCGGTCCTAGTTGGGGTCTTGCTGACCTGCCTGGCTCGGACCAAACCGTTATATAACTTATATGTTATATATATATATATATATATATATATATATATATATATATATATATATATTCTTTTCAACTTCATAGTGATTAGTGAACTAAGTCTATATACTTTTAACTATGGTAAGAAATAATTATGATAGTTGGGGACTTCAAACATTAGCTATTCCGTATTTAATCTTTCTTGTTTTTTGAGATTTTGGGTTAATTTTTTTTTTCTTTTCCCAATATCTCGTAAATGGTAAATAGGGAATGTTGTATTTTTTTCCTTGTGGTCATCTGGTCACTGTCTGTTTGATTCTTACACAAGTCACAGGTGCCTGATACTATTGACAATGCATATGTGATTGTCATCTGGTCAGTGTCGGTTCCTTGATGTATTATATACAGGGAAAAATAAGAGATTTTGTTTTTAAAAAATAAAATAAAAAGGAAATCAACTTAAACCGACAAACCGAAACGAACCAAACCGATTTTTTGCGGTTTGGTTTATTTTAGTTCGATGGGCATTATGATTCAGTCTGATTTCAAAAATAGTGGAACCGTTATAAATGATTTGGTCCAAAAACACTCTCAGTTCGATCCAAATCGAACCATGTGCACCTTGGCTTAGAAGTAACTGAGTAACTATCTGGAAAAAAAATATATATTTTGTTGTATCGTCAATTCTCTGGGGAAAAAAATTATTTTGTTGTACTCGGAAACTGCAATTACATTTGAACCATAAAATATGCTCAGCATTGCTTGAGCTTAAATTAATATTATATTTAAATACAGACAAATAAAACACAATAAATCTTCTCTGAATATGTCCATCGAATTCATTGTTTAGAGTGACTGACACACCTGTAGAAGAACCTAATCCATTGCATTCAGCATTTTAAATTTACTCTGATCATTATCATGATTTAAACAAACAAGTTATAGACCATAAGTGTATATTAATAATACATATGAACCAATGCATGCTTTTTCTATTTTATTATTTTATTTGTTTCACAAGGTACACGAGATATCCTGTAAGTTATGGCGGTGCATATTGTATGCAGAATACAATATAATAAATATCATTTGTTCCCATGCAACATAGATAGAAATTCTATATATATAAATTTGCTATAGAACATCTTAAAGCTCATCAACAATTGCATACTAATTAAGAAAGAAAAACAATGGGGTCTGAAGCTCTTTTTCTTCCTGTCATAGATTCCTCAGATGAGCTAAAACTGGGCACTCCTGAGTGGGACTCCGTGAGAGCCTGGGTTCAGCAAGCACTCTTAAGAACAAACGGAGCCTGCATGTCAATTAATTATGCAATTCTGTAATTTTTTTTTTTTTTTTTTTGGTCCCAATAAACTCATTAAAAAATTGTACAAAAAAAAGGTAAATAGAACAGGTTTTCACATCAAACAATCCGTTTATACTGCAAAATTACCATAAACCCCATTTTTTAAATTAAAAATATAAAAATATTTTTTTATCGATAAGAGGGCCTAAGAGATAACACTACCATAAGAGCCCTACTCGCTTTTCATCCCAAATTTGTATAAAGACCACAAGAGCCCTACTCTCTTTTGGTCTGCTAAATAGGGAGTTAATTTGCTAAACTTGGGAAATGAATTTTTTTGTTTTTTTCTTACTTTTCTATAAAAACCAATTATCCAACTAATATAATATTTGATTCAATGCCTGAACATGATGTTATATTCTATAAAGCATTTTCTGCTCCTTCCACATCTACTAATTTCTTTAGATTTTTTATTCAACAATCTTAGACTCTGTCGGGAAACGTTACATTATGTTTGAAGTTCGATTATGTTTTGATACTACATATATCTATTAACTTAGTAATAATTGTTGTCGAATAATTGGTCAAAGTATATCGTATACTATAATATAACTATTTAAATATTATCTAAAAATATAATATATATATATATATATATATATATATAATTATTATTATAAAACCAT